ATGTAGTGTTCTGTAATTTGTATCATAGGTACAATTCAACTGTGAGAGACGGAATCAAAAATCCAGAAAATCACATTGTATGATTTTTAAGTAATTAATTTGCATTTTATTGCATGACATAAGTATTTCATCACCTACCAACCAGTAAGAATTACGGCTCTCACAGACCTGTTAGTTTTTGTTTAAGAAGCCCTCCTGTTCTCCACTCATTACTTGTATTAACTGCACCTGTTTGAACTCATTACCTGTATAAAAGACACCTGTCCACACACTCAATCAAACAGACTCCAACCTCTCCACAATGGCCAAGACCAGAGAGCTGTGTAAGGACATCAGGGATAAAATTGTAGACCTGCACAAGGCTGGGATGGGCTACAGGACAATAGGCAAGCAGCTTGGTGAGAAGGCAACAACTGTTGACGCAATTATTAGAAAATGGAAGAAGTTCAAGATGACGGTCAATCACCCTCGGTCTGGGGCTCCATGCAAGATCTCACCTCGTGGGGCATCAATGATCATGAGGAAGGTGAGGGATCAGCCCAGAACTACACAGCAGGACCTGGTCAATGACCTGAAGAGAGCTGGGACCACAGTCTCAAAGAAAACCATTAGTAACACACTACGCCATCATGGATTAAAATCCTGCAGCACACGCAAGTTCCCCCTGCTCAAGCCAGCGCATGTCCAGGCCCGTCTGAAGTTTGCCAATGACCATCTGGATGATCCAGAGGAGGAATGGGAGAAGGTCATGTGGTCTGATGAGACAAGAATAGAGCTTTTTGGTCTAAACTCCACTCGCCGTGTTTGGAGGAAGAAGAAGGGTGAGTACAACCCCAAGAACACCATTCCAACCGTGAAGCATGGAGGTGGAAACATCATTCTTTGGGGATGCATTTCTGCAAAGGGGACAGGACGACTGCACCGTATTGAGGGGGGGATGGATGGGGCCATGTATCGCGAGATCTTGGCCAACATCCTCCTTCCCTCAGTAAGACCATTGAAGATGGGTCGTGACTGGGTCTTCCAGCATGACAACGACCCGAAACACACAGCCAGGGCAACTAAGGAGTGGCTCCGTAAGAAGCATCTCAAGGTCCTGGAGTGGCCTAGACAGTCTCCAGACCTGAACCCAATAGACAATCTTTGGAGGGAGCTGAAAGTCTGTATTGCCCAGTGACAGCCCCGAAACCTGAAGGATCTGGAGAAGGTCTGTATGGAGGAGTGGGTCAAAATCCCTGCTGCAGTGTGTGCAAACCTGGTCAAGACCTACAGGAAACGTATGATCTCTGTAATTGCAAACAAAGGTTTCTGTACCAAATATTAAGTTCTGCTTTTCCGATGTATCATATACTTATGTCATGCAATAAAATGCAAATTATTTACTTAAAAATCATACAATGTGATTTTCTGGATTTTTGTTTTAGATTCCGTCTCTCACAGTTGAAGTGTACCTATGATAAAAATTACAGACCTCTACATGCTTTGTAAGTAGGAAAACCTGCAAAATCGGCAGTGTATCAAACAGGGGCGGTGTGTTCAATAGGGCGAAATGGGCGACGCACTGCCAAACGGGAAAAGGAAGGGATTTTTTTTCTAATCAATTATATCACGGCAACAGTAGTTATCAGTGTTGTAATCTAGACGCCTGATCTGCCACAGTGCCACTAAATGTCCAATCAGGGTAAAGTCGTGCTTCAAATGGCCCCCCCCCCCCCACTTTTGGGGCGATTTCAGTCAGGTTGAAAATCGCCCAGAAGTCTGTCATAGACTCCCATGTAAAATCTATTTTTTTCAAATTTCAGAGCTTTCGATACAATCTCTATGGGTGTCTGAGGGCTTGCACTTACGCGCTTTCGTCATACGTAACGTAACCATGAATGAACGTAACTAAGAAAAGACCGGGTAGCAGCCTCAATCAATTCACTACTATCAAAATGGCTAGGCTTCAGTCCAACTCGATTGTGTCTTTGAAAGAAGTTCCTTTTTGTCGGCGAACAAATGAAGATAAATTGGCAACGAAACAATTAGGACCTCCCAGACCAAATTTAATAATTCAACAGGTTTCTACTAAAGGGGGGAAGTCCTACACCCGAGGATTTTCCAAAAAATGGTACGAACGAAAAAATAACATTGCCACTCAACTGGATGAGGGATACAGGCTAGCTGTCCGCCGCCACAACGATGAGGTTAGTGTTGATAATCACAAGTTTACTGGAGAACTGAGACCAAGTAGAGACTTTGGACAGGGTGGATATGGTTATATTGCGATATTGTCAATACAGTATATCGTAAAGTATCACTATGTAACTCGATTTCTTTCACCCCAATCCCTCAAATTAACGGTAAATAACTGAATTGTTTGCCCCACATTTAGCTAAGATGATTAGCTAGCCAGCTAAAATGTTTTATTTAGTTAGCAGTCGCATCTACAATAGTTTACTGTCAATAACATGTCTCCAAAAATGACGTGGTGTCTCCAATTGTGTTGACATTTTACAATTGCGATGCGCATCCATGAGTATCCACTTTCTGTAGCTCAGCTGGTAGAGCACGGCGCTTGTAACGCCAAGGTAGTGGGTTCGATCCCCGGGACCACCCATACACAAAAATGTATGCACGCATGACTGTAAGTCGCTTTGGATAAAAGCGTCTGCTAAATGGCATATTATTATTATTATTATTATTATTCCAGCCTTGTGTAGGTCTCCAATCTTGTCCCTGACATCCTTGGAGAGCTCTTTGGTCTTGGCCATGGTGGAGAGTTTGGAATCTGATTGATTGATTGCTTCTGTGGACAGGTGTCTTTTATACAGGTAACAAGCTGAGATTAGGAGCACTCCCTGAGATCAGTCAATAAATGATTCTGGTATTGACTTATATGCTGCCCCTGTCTTCATGTTGTTGCTGGACATATCTTTTTAAAAATGTGTGTAGGTCACCTAAATCATCAGAAAAATTGCCCCCCCTGAGAATTTTTTCAGGAGCCGCCACTGGTATCAAATACTTGTTCTCCCCAGTGTGTGTATATATATATATATATATATATATATATATATATATATATATATATATATATATATATATTTTTTTTTTTTAAGGAACGCAGTCCGTTATTAAACTTACTCTTGAAAGTTGTAATAGTTAAATGCACAAGGTGCAATTTCAAAATTGAGTAGTGCATCATCAGTTTCCTCATGTCATGTCAGTCATTGCAGACCTTAGAGAGCTATTTATAACCTGTCAGAAATGTCCAGATCAACAAGCCCATGTCAGCTAACGTTTATTTAGGTTTTTTAGCCCATAGATTTTGTTGTAATTAGACATTAGACATGTCAAAATCTATAGAATTGCAAGAACATTTGCTTCAAAACTGCAATATTTTCTTTGCACCCCATGACAAAATGTGTAGAATTGCAGGAAATAAGCTTTAAACCTTCAAAATTCTCTCCACCAACAAGAGGGGTGTGAACAGTTTGTGTCATGAACAATGCTTATGCCCATAGAAATAGACATGGTGCGTGCGCACGCGGGATGTTCCCCAATGCTAGAAGGGGGGCCCGAGTGAGAACCCCTACTCTAATCTACTGTATCTCATTTTAAACTAATACAAATCCAGGAAGCATGACTTCAGCAGCCAACTCTAATGAGAATTTTCACGAATCAAATTTCCCGTTAGTGCTGAATCGAATTGAACAGAATAAGTTACTAGCCCATGGACAGTAGGCGCCTCTGCACAAAATATATTTTTTAAATATTTGTTTATGTGTGCTTTAACGAGCACGGTCGACAATGAATTAACATAACACCACACCTGAGTGAGTCCATAAAATACAAATACACATGTAACCGTGCCAAAAACATTTACTGAAGTGAGAAGCCACATTAGATTGGAACGCTTAGTGTTTCAAAAAATCCTATTTGCCAAAATACAAATTGGGAGGCCTTTCTCCTCAGAAACTCACATCCTGTCCACAGTACTGTAAGTATACCACTCCTGGTCCAAATCCACCATTGCTCACTAAGTGTACAAGACAAACACAAGTCCTGATAAATGTGATTATTAGATGAGCAATGTAAATAACCTACTACAGTATGAGCTCTGCTGCTTGATATTCCCCAGACAGACAGAGCAGGCTAACAGAGCTTCAGTCAGTGTGTTATTTACCCAGACTGTTAGCAGGAAGGGGGCCATGAGAATGGTTGGACCGTAGCTCCAGCATAATAACAAATCCACCAGGGCCAGGAAGCCCCAGCCCAACCCAGCCAGACATTTTAGCTCAGTTCAGTTCAGCCGGCGGTGGGGGGTCTTGTCTGGTGCAGATCACATTACATCAAAGAGCTCTACTTTCACTGCTGCTGATAGCTGCTGGTTAGCGACTCTCCATCTCCAGCTCTGAAGGATGGTTTCATCCAAGTGATTGATATGGGGACAGGCAGCACTGTTGTCTAGCTAACCCCAGGGAAGATCATTTATCCCATTTATTTCAAATCAGCAGCACACAGCCCAGAACCCTTAGAGGTGGTGAATGCTGGAATCCAAGACCAGTGAGATCATAAAACTGTTTAAAAAAAATCCCCAGCTTGCAGTCTGCTTGGGAGGAATAAAAGCAGTAGAGGAGGAGAGATGTTTATTTTATCAGTGGGCTTTTAAAAGGCCTGGCCATTATTCAGGGGCTTCAAAGTACAATATTTCAACCACAGACCTACCAGGGTTCTATGATCTAACTGTAAATCCCTGTTCTAGTCAGCTGATAGCAGTGGGAGGACTAGGACCAGAGGGTGTTAATCATAAAAGCCTTTCTCACCAAGTTCATGAGAAGGCAATTACTGTAAATAGTGACAGATAGTAGCATAACATAGTATTGTACATCAAGTGTGCATTTATGTAGCTTCTAAGCAGCTGGCTATTCAATAAATTATTTACCATATGCCAAAAATGTGATTTACTGTATGTTTCAATGGTGGCTTTAATTGTCACAGTGATCCACAATGCATTAGGATCATCTGGAGAGGTTTATGATTAATATCTCACCATCATCTAGGTACATCTGGTCCAGTTCCTGTGGTTCCTGTTTGATGTTGATAGCCAGTGTGGGGCTTGACGAGCGGCCGCCTCTCTCTGGCACTTTGGGTAACTGTTGGGTCACTGGGCTAGAGCTGCCACTGATGGGCTGGGGCGGCGTTAGGCAGTGGGTGGGGGAGAACGGGGCCTCCGGGCCGCTGGTGCCAGGGGTGGAGGGCTGCGAGCCTGGGGAGGACGAGGCACTACTGGGCGGGTAGAGGACAGGTTGCGGCTGGTAGCGTCCAGGAGTCTCCTGGATGATGGAGACATGTGGGATCGGAGACTGGGATGGGCCTGCTGACAGGCACTTGGAGAAGGGTGTGGTGGGTGACAGGTCATGCAGTTTGGGACTGGTGCTGGGGGAGGATGAGGAGGACAGTGAGGAAGGCTTCCCTCCCAGTCTCTGTTGGCAAGCAGGGTAGGCACCCCCCACGCACAGCCGGAGTTCTGTGGGTATCATGGAGGTCATGACCTGTGGGGTGTAGTAGGGCTTGGGGTGTAGCGCCAGGCCAGAGCCACGCTGGGGACCGTAGTCATCATGCGGCTCCATTTTTATCATTGGAACTGAACAAATGAGAAAAAGGAGAGGAAAAGGAGAAACATTTATAAACATACCGTTTGATCTCCTGTCAAGTGTGAGCGGGTGAGAGAGTGAGAAAGTGTCAGTGAGTGAGTGGGTTTGTGGCTAGGATACCCACAGCCAAACAAACACTCTCATCAATGAGACTCTGTGTCTGGGCCTAAGCTCTCCCACCCTGCTGAAAATATTCAAAAATGAAACAAAGGGAGAGAAAAAAAGGGATGAATCATCACCACAAGAGACTTCCAGCTGGTTCTATAATAAAAAGGCCTATTTTCTTTGGATCCGACCCCATCACTAGTATCCTATAAATGTACATTATGAAATATGTTGCTGCTGCAGAAGCTACATACTGTACCCAACTGATATCTACAACTTGAAATAAATTACTGCTCTCTCAAAAAACACAAAAAAACAGTTTTAGTCAATATGCTATATAGTGTTCCTTTAAACAAGACTTCACAGACCACACTGTCCAGACAGCTTGTTTCGTGAAGAGACTCTAGAGTCTAACCCTTTAAGAGACACTGACCAGGCCCAATGTCCCCTCTCTCCCCCTCTCTGACTCTCACCAGAGGCTGAGGACAATGTTGCACTTTCAGAGGGGACAGCGACTGAGGCACGTCAGTGCCCACATACAGGGCTGGGACAGCAGTTAAATCAGAGCTTTGAACCACCCACTGGATGCTAGCTAGCTCCAAGCCGGCTACAATTAGAAGTGTTTATTTATTATTAATTTTTTCATTTGAGCTGGTGTGGCATTTTTCATTTAGTCTGGCAACAGGTTGGCTATTCACATAACACAGCGTTCCCATATACCTTCTCCACCCTGGTGCAGTCCACTCCAAGTGTTCTTATAGCTACAGGTATGGAAAATACTAGATTTTATGGAGATGTCTTTTTACAATGGGAATAACTCAAACCATCGCTTTGTCCCTCCCTTGAACACCCCCAGACAAAGGCGGAATACATAATGTTTGTGTTCTTTGCTTCAGATGTAAAAATTGTGATTAAAGTTTTCTTATTGGTCTGTGATATGAAAGGACAAGGATAGACAAAAGAGGAGTAGGGTTAGGGTAATGGGTAGAGAGAGATAGAGAGAGGAAAAGGGAGAGAGAGCGAGAGAGCGAGAGAGCGAGAGAGAGAGAGAGAGAGAGAGAAAGGGAGAGAGAGAGAGAGAGAGAGAGAGAGAGAGAGAGAGAGAGAGAGAGACAGATAGAATGAAAGAGAGTTTACCATTGGCAGGCACGTAGGTGAAGCACTGGTATTGGCTCCTTTTCCTCTTGCCATTGCACACATAGAAGTTCACCTGAACAGGATTGGATATCCTCTGGTTCCGATAAGGAGGGATTTCAATGAGAAGAGATGTCTGCAATGCAAAGTCATAGGCAATGTCATCCATAGTGAAACACAACCGAGGCCCATATACATGCACATAGATGCAAATAGAGACTGTTAGTTACACATACATTCAGACACACAAAAATGCTAAGATATTCTCAAAAATGTATTTTGCAAACTAAGGACACATCTGAGATGTGTCACAGATAGCCATCAGGTTCCTTTCTTTAAATCATGCTTTTATTTGGGGACAACAGCCTTTTCACAACAGCCACTTTATCCTGCACAGTCATTTTATATCCCATTCATGGAGTGTATGTGATCCTCCAGTCCAGATGGGGAATACAGTGACAGCCCGTACGTGAGGTAAGGTTATACAGTAAACCACGGTTGTTTTCATGGTGAGTAACTACACATTCATCCAGGGAGTATCCAGATGTTTCATTTCCCCCAGCACTGCTCCCTGCTGTCTACGAGGTAAACGCAGGCCAAGACTGAACGTGTGTGATTGGGTTCAGCTCAGTCTGTGACCAGACCAGAGTACTACACTGCATGGAGTTTTACAGACCTGGGTTCAAATACTGTTTGGAATCATTCAAATACTTTTAGTGTTTGCTTTAACCTGCCTGGAGTGCCAAATGGATGGGACTGGTGCTGGTGCAGTTTTGAGACTATTCTATTGGATCCATTGCACCAGGCAAGCTCAGTCAAGCCCAGCTCAAGTATTTGAAATTCATTTGAATAGAATTTGAACCCATGTCTGGAGTTTAACTCAATCTATTGCAGACTGATGGAGGTGCTGAGCAGTAGCCAGACTGGAAGTTATTTATCTTGGCTTTAGGCTTTGGAGGAAGGTTGCCCCTGACAGGTGCAGGTGAGGCCTGACACACGTTATATTAAATCAGTACAGCCGTAAACCAAAGTGAAGCCAGATGAAGCACTTCTGTTGCATAGCACGCGCCGGCTTCCCTCTTCTCTAGCCTCCGCCCTGATAATGCAGGATTACTTAATGAAAAACGGTCAAAATAGAGTTTACTGTTTTAATCTATCATACTTTCAGTCGTGAACTGTGTCTGGAATGCTAGGGACTGTGGACAGCATTTATTTTATAGTGAGGGGGGAAGCAATAGATAAGAAAGTGAGCAGGGAGGAAGGTATTAAGAGGATCAAAAACACACACATGAATTCATTCTTTTTTCATTCTCATTCCTACCAGATTGCCATTGTTCTACAACCACTACTTTTCCTTTTCTCAATAAACTTTTGAGTTAATCGGCAATGACATGTTCAATTGCACACCTTATACCTAATTTGAGTAACTCCCATCACAAAAGACAATTGTCTATATGACTAAACAGTGATATAGCCGACATGGAGAAGCTACAATAGGCCTAATCATCAAATTATTCACGAGTAACACCTCTACATTATGGTTTACTCCTCTTTGAGTCTTCCCTTAGGGGAAGACAGGACATTGACTGATGCGGTGAGGTGTTTTAAATTCCTCAGTGCTGAATGTGTCGTCTCGTAGCTTTGTAGCACAATAGGCGAGGTTAAACCTGGCCAAGGCTCTGTCGGTGTTTAGAATGGGACTGATCCAGCAGTCTGGGCTGTAAAGAAAGCCCCTCGTCTGTTTGAGATTCACACAGATGTGTCCCAACAGCAACAGTGAGTGTGTGCCCTACTGAAAAAAAACAGCATAAACCATCATCGGCTGGTGACCAGCCTTCATTGTATTTTCGCAGGTGACCAGCCTTTGCTGTGTTTTTGCTGGTGACCAGCCTTCACCCACAAAACCAGCATCAAGTCACATAATAATAATAATTATTTGTACCTTTATTTAAGGGAGTCACCATTGAGACCAGGGTCTCTTTCGCAAGGGATAACATCAAATCTAAATCAGATATAGTGCAAAAACAAACTAACATACAGCACAACACTGGCTTGCAATGTGATGGCTAATTCCTATTTGAATAAAGCCTAAGTGGAAATATTCAACAATTGGGCATTTATTCACCCACAATCTGCAATCAGAATGATTCTTCTTCTTCTTCTTCTTCTTCTTCTTCTTCTTCTTCTTCTTCTGTGGGTTTTATGGCGGACTACAACCCAAAAAGGTGTATTGCCGCCACCAACTGGACTGGTTGAAAAACCAAAAAAAGGTTTAAAAAAAATCCATACGTGATAGGGAAACTATCTTAATCCACCCAAATAAAAATAGTAATTTGACAAAAACAAAACAAAACTCCCACTTCTTCCTTCTTTCAAATCTCCTTATCTCCCTTCTCAGGCTCTAGGGCCTGAGAGTGTAGTACGCCTTGTGACAATATTCCATGTAACTCCTGGACCTTCTCGCCACCTTGGCAGTGCCATTAATCACCATAGCTATAAAGGCCACAAAGTCCACCTTCTTAACCTTTAAAATGTCAGGGTCCTGCTGGTGAAAGGCAACCCCTGCAGCCTGCAGTGAAGACCTATCTACCACCATGGACTCTTCAGGAGCACCATTCAAACCCTCAACCCTTTTAACAGCTGCTGCATATGAAATGCTCTGGACAGCCCTGACTTTGGCCACCTCACTCTCTTTCACCCTTGTTGGGCATTCCAAAGACGTGGCTTCTTGGTTCACACCGCAATTACAACATTTTCATCACTTTTAAAACACATGACATTATATTTTCCACAACTTGGACATCTCGGCTTCTCCTTTCTGCAAACACTTGAAACAATGACCAAAAGCTTTACAATGATCATACTGCATTGGTCTTGGGATAAATGCTGTGACTCTAGTTTATATACCCCAACTGCACTTGAGTAGGGAGAGACTCCATATCTTCATTCACCACACGATTCATCCGACGTGCATCAATCACTCCAGGAATATCTTCATCTCTTCAACATCAACTTCCCACGAGACTCCAGATATTACCCCCTTGAGGGGTGCCTGTTCCGAAGAGACACACACGACACTTCAAACTTATAAAATTGGGTGAGACGCAACACACGTTACTTATGATCTGCAGAAGTACAACAAATCAAAACAAGCCCGCCTCTCGTGACCTTCACAGCCTTCATTTTAACCAGCACTCTCTCCACCAGTTTGGATATCTCAAATGGATTCTTCAGGATTGGTAATCCGATCAGCTGCTCCTCATTAACAAACCGTACTCCAACAAAATACGAAAGGACATTCTCAGCACTGTACACTACTTTGCACAGTTTTCCTTCTCCTTGATTCTACCGCCATTAGATTCAGAGTCCACTTCATCATCCGCCATCTCGTGAGAACAACCGCACTCAAATCCCTCTAATGCATTCAACAACAACAAAAAACACTGGCAAATCGCAATCAGGATGACTGCCAGGGTTAGACAGATAAAATAATGAGACTACCTAAACCATCTAAACTGGAACAACCATTTCAGTAACGGGTGCAACTAACAGATCCAACTAACAGATTGAGTTAGTTTAGAAAAACTTTTTGTAGCATAATATACATTAATTGATTAATGAATCAATCAATGTACATGCCAAAACATAGATATTGACACAAACAATTCTAAAAATCTAACTGCAATAGAGCATGCTGGGAAATATGATAATGATGGCCGTGGTTTTGCAGACCAGCTTGACCAGAC